CCATGAATGTTAAGATGGGTTTTTAATAGTATAAAAATAGATATTGTGTATAAGAGTATCTCAGCTAACTAAATGTCATGGAGAATCTCTGAGTTACAAGCAACGAGCGTTATGAATCATAGAATACTAGGACTGAAAGGGACCTCAAGAGGTCATCGAGTCCAGGCCCCTACCCCCATGGCAGAACCAAATACTGTCTAGACCATCCCTGATACATATTTATCTAACCTACTCTTAAATATCTCCAGAGATGGAGATTCCACAACCTCCCTGGGCAATTTATTCCAGTGGTTGACTACCCTGACAGTTAGGAACTTTTTCCTAATGTCCAACCTAAATCTCCCTTGCTGCAGTTTAAGCCCATTACTTCTTGTTCTATCCCCAGAGGCCAAAATGAACAAGTTTTCTCTCTCCCCTTTTAGATTCCTGAAAACGGCTATCATGTCCCCTCTGTCTTCTCTTTTCTAAACTAAACAAACCCAGTTCTTTCAGCCTTCCTTCATAGGTCATGTTCCCTAGACCTTTAATCATTCTTGTTGCTCTTCTCTGGACCCTCTCCAATTTCTCCACATCTTTCTTGAAATGCGGTGCCCAGAACTGGACACAACTCCAACTGAGGCCTAACCAGCGCAGAGTAGAGTGGAAGAATGACTTCTCATGTCTTGCTCACAACACACCTGTTAATGCATCCCAGAATCATGTTTGCTTTTTTTTTTTTGCAACAGCATCACACTGCTGACTCATATGCAGCTTGCTTTCCACTATAACCCCTAGATTCCTTTCTGCTGTACTCCTTCCTAGACAGTCACTTCCCAGTCTGTATGTGTGAAACTGATTGTTCCTTCCTAAGTGGAGCACTTTACATTTGTCTTTATTAAACTTCATCCTGTTTACCTCAGATCATTTCTCCAATTTGTCCAGATCATTTTGAATTATGACCCTATCCTCCAGAGCATTCGCAACCTCTCCCAGCTTGGTATCATCTGCAAACTTAATAAGCGTACTTTCTATGCCAATGTCTAAATTGTTGATGAAGATATTGAAGAGAGCCTGTCCCAAAACAGACCCCTGCAGTACCCCACTTGTTATACCTTTCCAGCCAGTTATGCACCCACCTAATTGAAGCCCCATCTAAGTTGTATTTGCCTAGATTGTTGATAAGAATATCATGCGAGACAGTATCAAACACCTTACTAAAGTCTAGGTATACCACATCCATCGCTTCTCCCTTAGCCACAAGATTCGTTATCCTATCAAAGAAAGCTATCAGATTGATTTGACATGATTTATTCTTTACAAATCCATGCTGGCTGTTCCCTATCACCTTGCCACCTTCCAAGTGTTTACAGATGATTTCATTAATTACTTGCTCCATTATCTTCCCTGGTACAGAAGTAAAACTAACTGGTCTGTAGTTTCCTGGGTTGTTGTTATTTCCCTTTTTATAAATGGGCACTATATTTGCCCTTTTCCAGTCTTCTGGAATCTCTCCTGTCTCCCATGATTTTCCAAAGATGATAGCTAGAGGCTCAGATACCTCCTCTGTCAGCTCCTTGACTATTCTAGGATGCATTTCGTCAGGCCCTGGTGACTTGCAGGCCTCTAACTTTTCTAGGTGATTTTTAACTTGTTCTTTTTTTATTTTACCTTTGAAACCTTTCCCCCTTCTCACTAGCATTCACTGTTTTAGGCATTCCTTCAGATTTCTTGATGAAGACCGAAACAAAGAAGTCATTAAGCATCTCTGCCATTTCCAAGTTTTCTGTTACTGTTTCTCCCTCCTTACTGAGTAGTAGTCCTATCCTGTCCTTTGTCCTCTTCTTGCTTCTAATGTATTTATAAAAATTCTTCTTGTTTCCCTTTATTCCCGTAGCTAGTTTGAGCTCATTTTTTTCCTTTGCCTTTCTAATCTTGCCCCTGCATTCCTGTGTTGTTTGCCTATATTAATTCTTTGTAATTTGTCCTACTTTCCATTTTTTATATGACTCCTTTTTATTTTTAGATCATGCAAGATCTCCTGGTTAAACCAAGGTGGTCTTTTGCCATATTTTCTATCTTTCTGACGCAGCAGAATAGCTCGCTTTTGGGCCCTTAACAAAAAACTTTGAAAAACTACCTTTGAAAAACTACCAACTCTCCTCAGTTGTTTTCCCCCTCAGTCTTGATTCCCATGGGACCTTACCTATCAGCTCTCTGAGCTTACCAAAATCCGCCTTCCTGAAATCCATTGTCTCTATTTTGCTGTTCTCCCTTCTACCCTTCCTTAGAATTGTGACCTCTATGATTTCATGATCACTTTCACCCAAGCTGCCTTCCACTTTCAAATTCTCAACCAGTTCCTCCCTATTTGTTAGGATCAAATCTAGAACAGCTTCCCCCCAGTAACTTTTTCAACCTTCTGAAATAAAAAGTTGTCTCCAATGTAGTCCAAGAACTTATTGGATAGTCTGTGCCCCGCTGTGTTATTTTCCCAACATATATCTGGATAGTTGAAGTCCCCCATCACCACCAAATCTTGGGCTTTGGATGATATTGTTAGTTGTTTAAAAAAAGCCCCATTCACTTCTTCCACCTGGGTAGGTGGCCTGTAGTAGACTCCTAGTATGATATCACACTTGTTTTTAACCCCTTTTAGCCTAACCCAGAGACTCTCAACACTTGAACTGACCAGTCAACCCCACACCGCCTTTGTCAGCAGAAGAAGCAATAAATAAATACAAATTTTAAGAACAAAATACAGCATAGTAATCAGTGTTCCCTCTAAAATGAGTGGCAGTAGAGCTTTACAGGTGATTAATCAGCCCTGCCCAGTCAGAGGCTCAGGGCTCCTGCACGGAGCTGACTGATTGGGCAGGGATGATTAATCACCTGTGAAGTTGTGCTGCCATGCACCTTAGAGGGAACACTGGTAGTAACCTGTTAAATGTAAACTACTAAGAAAAGGAAAAGTTTTTTTAAAAAGAATTAATAAGGTAAGGAAACCTTACCTTACCATTTTTGCGCTTGTTTCATTTAAATTAAGGAGGAGCATTTTTCTTCTGCCTAGCAAAGTTTCAAAGTTGTATAAAGTCAATGTTCAGTGGTAAGTTTTTGAAAGAATAACCAAATCATTCTACTCTTCCCAAGGTATTGTAACAAAATACAGGACTATGTAGCACTAACAAGATGGTTTATTAGATGATGAGCTTTCGAGGGCCAGACCCACTTCCTCAGATCAAATAGTGGAAGAAAATAGTCACAACCATATATACCAAAGGATACATTTAAAAAAAATGAACACATATGAAAAGGACAAATCACATTTCAGAACAGAAGGGTGATGGAGGGGGTGGGGGAAGGAAGGTAAGTGTCTGTGAGTTAATGATATTAGAGGTGGGGAAAGGTAGATATCTGAGAGCTAATGGTATTAGAGATGATAATTGGGGAAGCTATCTTGGTAATGGGTAAGGTAGTTGGGGTCTTTGTTCAATCCCCCCCGGAGAGTGTCGAATTTTAGCATGAATGACAGTTCAGAGGATTCCCTTTCAAGTGCAGATTTGAAAGTCTTCTGGAGTAGGATGCATGTAGGTCGTCGAGACAGTGTCCTTTCTGGTTGAAATGGCAAGAAACTGTTTTTTCTTTATGTTCCTGTCTAATTTCTGTTTTGTGGGCATTGATCCTTTGGCGAAGTGTCTGAGACGTTTGTCCAATGTACATAGCAGACGGACATTTTCGGCACATGATAGCACAAATTATATTTCTGGATGCGCAGGAATATGTATTCTTGATCTTATAACTCACTTGGTTAGACCCAATAATGGTATCAGCAGAGTGAATATGTGGACAAAGCTGGCAACGGGGTTTGTTGCAAGGGAAAGTACCAGGGTTGGTATTACTGTGATATGTCCCACAAGGTATTGTAAGTCTGAGTTTCCACTGTATCTAAGATTCTTACACTTGGAGTATGATGTTTAATTACCTTTCTTGTCACTTATATAAAAAGTTTATTGTTGATCATGAAATTATCCAGTCCTTTATCTGGAAGGATTTAGAATAATAATTAAAAAATCAGGCACATGTCTGTTTAACAAGAATATTCAAAATTACAATAGCATAAAAACTAAAATACATTTATGGAAGGAATATCATGTTTTTTATGGAGCAAAATGTCTGGTTCGAACACTTACATGTTGCGTTTTTGAGTAAGAATAAAGAATTACATTTAGTAGTGTCTATATTTGGTAAAATCTCAATACGGAAGCATTATTCACAAGGAAGCTAAAAACGGAATTTTTAACATCATTAAGAGGAAAAAATATATATATTTTTTCTCCTTTTTAAGAGTGATGGTATTTGAGAAGAGTCCATATACTAGGAGTATACATTGAAATTAATTGTTTTAATAGGAAATTTTGTGTTCATTCTCCAAAAAGAGCATTATACCTACTACATGCTAGAAGAATAAAAATTAATTTCTAGTTTTTAAATCCCTTATGTTTTAACCATTCTCCAGAATCCCATTTTAATTTCAGTTGTTTATAATCAACGATAACTTCTGCATCTTTTTGTGGGGGAAGGGAAAGGAAAGCTTTCAAATTACATGTAGGACGAGCTTGAAAAGAGTTCAACTCTTCTTCACCAAAATAAGCAGCCATATTTTCAAAATGGTTTATCACATTGGTGTTGTGTCCTCTAAAAAGCTTGCTGTTTAAGTGTCATAAAGGGCGCTGTTGGGTGCTAAAAACTTGAAAGATTGGGCCCTTACTTTCATGTTAATGACAGATGAGCTCATTTGAAAATCAGGAATTGCTGATACTGACCACTTGAAGCATCTGGTGTTAAACTCTTTAAAGAATCTGACTCAGTGTCTTTTTATATAATTGAAGCACCATTTTACATGGTGACAATGAGTTATCCATTTCACTAGTAATTGTTTTAAATAATTTTGGAAGCACCCCTAGGATTTAACGATATCCGTTCATGCCAGCAATGTACTTATTGTTTTCTCCTTTTTTTTAAAGCGTCTTGTTGAAGCTGCAGAGGATGCTCACTTGAAACATGAATTTGATGCTGATTTACAGGTAATTAGTAATTGTTTTTCTTTAAAAAAAAATTACCATTAGAACATATTATAAAGGATTATACAGAATAGCTTTGTGTTTTTACTCCAAGGACTACTGTGGAAAGCCAACCATGTGAGTAATAGAGGGATACTTATTACAGAAAATGGAATTAATGGAAATTGGCTCAGTATATTGAGAAGTTAAGTACTCATGTTTGCATGTTGGGAGACCTAGCTGGTGGATTTTACCCTTTTAGAGGTTTCATTTAAATTCCCTTCATGATTACTTAAGTCAAGATTTTTAAACACAGTAATTAGCAACATGTTTCATAGTTGCAAAGTAGTGGGAAGAAATTGCTCTTTGGAGAGTTGAATTTGCAAATGGGCTGGAAATCTATAGGGATGGGATTAGAGTGGCATTGGACTGTGCAAATGGTTTGTGTTTGGATCAATGACTAGTGCAGAAAAGGCTTTTTGACACAGAGTATTCTACCTTCATTGTATCAAAATGGAGTCTTTTTCAGTGTACTGAAGTGAGACTACAAGAAAAGGGAAAAAATGGGAAATATGATAAAAAAATATCGAAAAAGCTTTAAGAAAACAAGGCAAAGCATATAAGATTACAAATCTATCAGACGATAAAATAATAGGAGATAGCATAATAATAAAGTATGTATTGTACCAATACTTCAACATTTAAATTAGTAAATATTTTTCTGTCTGTTATGAATTTCTGTTCCCTTGCCATGTTAGGCAAAACTATTATTTAGATTGGTTTCACTATGTAGATTGTCTTGTAACATTTTCTATGGAAATTCATCAAGAGTCTGTCTGTCTTAATGTTGAGCAGTAAACATAAAATAAATAGATTTAAGGAAAGGGGAGGAAGAGCACACTCTTCTCCATTCTTAGAATCATCACTCTAAGTTCTGTTTTCAGAGCTTACCATCATTATTTTCTAGTCATAACAAAATATCTTTTTATATTAAAAATCTGGTGTGGAATAGTTGATTCCCTATGAAATAAGGCATTAAATCTGTCATAGGAAGTGAATTTCAAGAGTGACCTATTTAGAGTTAAGGAAAAGGAAGGTGGGTTAGAAAGCTTTGAAATTAAGATAAAAATGTTGACATTAGAAGTAGTGATTCTTCATAATTGTATTAGTGTTTTATCTGTCTGGATTTAGATTGCCTAGACTTCTACTGAATTCCCATGGAAAGCTTACTGCATTTCTTTTTCTGAACTTCTTGCCTAGAAGACGTTACATCTGTTGTCTAAATAAATCAGGAGCACATTTATGGATGACTGTTTTAAATGTGTATGGTAAAGCCTCTTCACTGAGAATGGTTCTCACTTTGACAAAGTCCTTCATTTGTTGAGGCTTTGAGGACATTAACACTTTTAGGAAGCCAGTTAAAAGCCATTTGTGTCAGCAGCCTTAACAGGACAATCTGTGTAGTGCTCTGTTGTTTATTACTGCCATGGTCCATTAAAACTAATCAATTGTTAATCTTAGTTTCAATGACCCCTCTGCAACCCTTACTAGGAGATTGTTGTTGTTTATCAAAAATCTCATACCACCATCTGCTCAATATAAAATCAGAATGATTTGATTGTGTCCATTCAAGTTGAAGGGACAGAAATCTTTCAGTAATTTTGCTGGGGAAAAGGAATTTGCAAAGCTTCTTATGCCTTACCCCAAATATGGGCGATAATGTGAAGGGAGTTTAAATCAACAGTAAGCTACACAGCACCATCCTACACTCTTCATCTGATCCGCATTGCTCTTGAAAATTCAAAAGCATATAAAGAAACTATTTTGGTATTTTTTATTGGTCCAGAATCCTTATCTATGCTTTGATGACAGTATAGGCAGTCTTCTATCACTTCATAAGAATGCTGTAAAGGCAATATACAGTTATATTAATATTTGTATTGTTTGTAGAAAAATACCAGGTTAGGGAAATCACAGCTGGAAGATTTCTTTTTATCTCTCTGGAATTCTCTTTGGTCTCTTTGGGTCAACTTCAGTTCATTATGGGTTTTATTCTTAATAACTTTATTGGTTTTATCCTTAGTTATCTTATAAGAATTTTAATAAATACTATAGTACCTTATAATAATCTAAGCATTTACATGTTTGCATCTGTCAAAGTTAACAACAAAAACACCTGCGGTAAGAGATATAAATAAAAGTGCCCATTATGTGAAAGAAATAAATCAAACTAGGTAATATGATTGTCTAACTCACCAGCATCAAATACTGCATGTTTGATTAATGGCAGTGATGTTCCTCAGGCATATTTGAATTTAAAGCTTTAACTGGCTGAATTTGGCCTTGAGAAGTTCTTTGTTTTAACAGAAAAGTGAACCAAGGAGCTGTAGTTGTAGCAATTTGGGGGCAGATGAACTTCTAAAATCTATTTGCTTGCACTTGGAGATTGGGCATCTAACTGCACTTAATGTATTTGAAAAGCTCTATCAGTCATATGTGCAAATATTTGAGGATTTCCCAATTGTATTAATAAGTGAGCTTCTTAAATTATTTTTCATTTATACACATACTGCCACCAAGTGAAAAACCACATAAGGTAGAACTTCCACAGATTATATACAAAGGTGTGGTGGGAAATCAAAAATAGCAAGAGATGATTGGAGAATAGGAAGTACTTGGCCCAGTGTACAATTTCCTCCTGTTTTCCAATACGATATTCTAGTATTGCTGCCATGGAAGTTGATGGACATTTTGCTAGTGACTCTAGTGGAAGCTGCTGGGTCTTAGCATCTTTGAAAATCAAGCCACTAAATATTGGGCATAAGTGCGGATTTAGGAGCTTTATCTGAGGTGCGTTTTTGAAAATTTCAACCTAAATGTATGTCTGACAGAGGTAAAAATAATTTTTTGGTTTGGAACCAAAGAAAGAATAGGAATTTAGCCATAAAGGCAACTGAACTAAAATGTCTTAGTGGAACAGAAATTGATCCCTCTCCTCCTGCAATCTCCTTACCCATTTGGGAGTTTCCAATATTTATAAAAAGTGTCTATTTCATAGCACTCGAACGGTGATACAAGCTTCTCCACGAACTGCTCTGCCATTGAGCCTCCACCCTGACTGGAGCGACCATCTGTAGGTCAGAGGATAGTTTAGTCTCTGTGGCCCATTCATCCTCTGTCTCTCAGCTGAGGCTGCCAACTAGGGATCAAATTGTGATGTGGATGCCTATCCATAAGGACCTGGCCCAACCTGTACTTTAAAACTTAAGTCAGCCTTGCTATGTCACTCAGAAGTGTGAAAAATTCACACCTCTGAGAGACATAGTTAAGTTGACCTAAGCCTGATATAGACTTCACTAGACAGATAGAAGAATTCTTATGTCAACCTAGTTACAGAGACTTGATGGGGTAGATCAACAATAGTGATGGCAAAAACTGTTCCGTCACCATAGTAGATGTCTAAACTATTGTGCTGCAATACCATAGCTGTGCTATTGTAATATTTGTGGAATAAACAGTCCCTGAGAGTGAAGTGATTGCATGAGAGGGGCCAAAAGGGGATTTGAATAAATAGTCTTTTAGACTGATGACGTTATCAGTGTCCAAAGGTTCTGCAGGTTCCTACAGCATCTTCTGCTGGCTTGATTCTCTGGCTATCTCTACCCTGAAGTTAATTTTTTTCCTGGGAACAAATTGCTGAGGAAAGGGACGATACTGCATAGCCCTTGATAACAAATGCATAATGATATTTTATTGATGCATTTATATTGCCTTTTTAGGTATTTAGTTATTATTTAAAGTAATAGACTGTAGCAACTTAGATACGTTACTGGAAAATAATAGGATGAAAGATAATTGGGAGTAACTACAGTACACCATCTTGTTAAATACGTATTCAAACAGATACATTTTTTTAATATCAATGTACTTGAAAAGTCTATTTACACATTCATTATCTCAATAATTTTGAATTGATGCACTCAGTGACTAGATTTTACAATCCATTAGTGTTAATATTTTATTAGCTGTCAGAAATAAACCCACAACATTAAAGTCTGATCTTGAGAAGTCTTGATCATCTACAATTCACACAGGAACTGCAAGTACTCACCATTTCACAGGATAAACTGTAGAATGCCTTTCTGAAAAATGGGTTCTTCAAACAGCAATGTGAGGTCCTGTGTCTATTGTATCTCACTGATTCCTTATCAACTGTGCTGCTTACTCTTCAAAATCAAAAAGATATTTTTCTAAATGCCAGATCTCCAAGTCTGTCAGCTACATCTATATTGCACCATTAACCTCCAGTCACACAGTGAGGCAGCAGAAGTGTTACCATGGCCTACAGAATTTTCATTATCAACAGATGATGGTAGAGAAACCCAGGATGGATTATCAGAGCTAATCTAAATATTGAGCAAAATGGATATGCAATCGGAGAGAGACAATAAATGTAGAACTTCACAAAATCACTTTTAAAAAAGCGATTTGCACTTTAAGGATGGTGATGATAAAGGAGAAGAGACAATAAAGGCTGCATTTCTATTTCTCCAGATAATGAGCTGTCTGTACTTTGAGTCATAAGATACACCTTCGGAGCTGTTTTTAATTATCACAATGTTAAGAAAAATATTGTGTTGTAATTTTTTTCTGTTACACTGTTTTACAAACCTGCCTTGCTTGTAACAAAAGATTGAATTGTGCAGGCCTTAATTCAGTAAAATTTCTGTTGACTTCATATGCAGGGCTTCTTAGTTTGTCTCCCAATTGCTTTTATATTAGAGCTGCAGCAAAGTGACATCCAGATTTAAGCTCTGAAGAACAAACCTTTCAATCATTGAGCTTATTCACTGTTTCCTCTGCTTCTTGGAGCTGTAAGGAGGAATGAAAAAAAAAAAATGGCCTCTAAGCTATCAACTAAGTAGTGAATTTCAAACTGCTACTAGCTGAAAATTCTCCAGTTACTCAACACATAAATAACCTTCAGAGTGAAATCCTTACATCACATTCACAGTGCATGCCTG